AAAATTTACTGGGCGATATTTTTTATGTCCGAAAATTAATCTAAGTGCCCAGTGAGCACGCCTCTGGAATCAACTGTAATATGTCTGAAAGATGCCTCATAAAGTTGTAAACAAACTGTGAAAATTTTATTAAAATCGGACAAAGTTATTTTTAGATACTAATAAAAAACTTTAACACCCTGTATATCAAAATAAAAAGAAAATTAGATCATTTTTTTTATCGCACAAACTACTTCTATTTTTGATAAACTATCGACAGGTAAAGCTTTATGAAATGAACTGGATCTGTATAAACTTGTTAACTAAATAGGTTTATCATTATTACGGCGGTAAACTTATTACCTTTTTGGGTACACATTTTAATATTTATTTTTTGCTCGGGAATTGGTAGTAGATAAAACGTTTTCTGAAATTAAAACACAGCTGCGAGTGTATGATTATAGAACGAGTAGATATCGAAAATGTCAACAACAAAGTTAAAACGGTTTTAAAACTAACATAAACCTCCAAGTAATGATATTAAATAGGGTGAAAATTAATGAATTCTTTTATTAAAACTTACTCGTGAAGTGTATACAAAATTTAAAGGTATAAAAATGTGTTGACTATTTTCAATTCAAATTTCTTTTTTTTAATCAATAATATGTAGATAACTTTTCTGCTTAATTAGATGTTTAAACAAGGGCGGTTTCTCCATTGGTTCATTTGTGCAATGAACACAGTTACATTTCATAAAAACACATTATTTTAAAATTACATAAATAACATAAAAATATAAATTTAATTTTAATATTTTTATTTTCATACGTGTTAAACTATATTTTTTGGTACATCATTGTTCTCGGGCTGATCGCGTCTCTGTGGCACAGTATACCTAAGTATACTGTGTCTGTGGCGCATTATAATGAGTGAGGCTAACACGAGTAAGACGATTTAGCGAAGGCATATAGCTAAAAAGAGAAGACAACACGCCAACAGATCCTTCAAACTGCAAAAGAACACATTAATTGGTGACACATTAGTTGCCAGTCTAATACAATTCACAATTGTACTAGATGTAGTTCATTCTGCGTGCATCAGTGTTCACGTGTAATAATATATATTGTGTTCCTTGTTTGGATTCGTTAAAGACCCCCTTTTTTTCCCTTCAATGAATTAGATGTCACTGCAAATAGAATTCGAAAAATCTGATTCATTTAAGGAATCTGGTACATTTTTTAAACAAATCTGGTACATAACAAAAACATATTCTGGCAACACCAAATCAAACAAACTGTCATTCCGTCTTCCGTCATTCCTCTACTATGAAACGTTTTTAATAAAATTAAGATTATTTTATTTGTGCTCATTTAAAAAAAATTGTTTAATTAAGAACTGTGATATTAATAAATTGAAAGCATGTGTGTCAATTCAACGATTGTTTCCGAAAAACTTCTTTAAGGCAAGGTAAATAAAAGTATTTTTAAAGTTTGTTGTTTTATTTAACTATAATAAAGTTTTACGAATCTAATTTGTTTTATATTTTGTTTCAGTGTCTAATTCGAATTCTAAGAGTACTTCAAAATGGTCTATTTTGTAACCAACTGTAAATACTATGAAATAAGAAGTAAGCAAAAAAATTTGTAAATTTTTTGTTACAAAACCCGCTGAAAGGAAAAATTTGATTATTCTGATAAGGTAACTACTTGACATCATTATGGAAATGTACAATAAACGTTTGATAAAGATAAAGAGACAAATGGTTTTTCACTTTAAAAGTCTGAATCGGAAAAATGGACCAACCAGTTAATTTAATATGCTCAATGAAAAATTTTACCTAAGAAATGGTATGTACATTTAAATAGTTTATATACAGTTATGTTTGCCTGTAATTATCAATCGTGTTACCCTGAAATCTTTTATTTTCTTGATCAATTTGAAAAACCAAAGTGACTAATAATATAAGAGAAACGGAAAATCTGGCAACATTGCAAACATTAAATCTGGAATCTCCGTATCCCAAAATAGGTGTACCCCAAATTTTGTACAACTAGGACTAGCAATTTACGAGATAATTGGCCGTTTCCAGACTTTTGGGCCACTCTGTATATTTAAAAATATTCTCAAATTATGAAGAAAAGTCAGTTTACTAACTAATAATGTTTATAGATGGTTTTCAATGTACAAAACAAATATTACACTAACTAAAATATTCATTTATTAATAGTTTTAATGCTTGAAAATAGTATGATGTTGATAATAATAACTACACTTAATACAAACGCAAATAATGAAAAAACAGCGATATTGGCTCTTGTACAAAGTTTGAACCGAACTTACAAATGATAAAATTAGTGGAAAAAGTGAACACCCATTTTAAATTACCCCGAGCCGCCACTGTGTTTAAATCGTGCCATGCTCTCAAACTTTTCGCCGATCACACCAAAACCCACATCGACAGGAGTTCGTACCCTTTTACGTTGATTGAACGCTTAACTGCTCCATTGAGATTGTAATGAAACAATAACCGAAATAAGCTAATTTCACGTAATTACACGAGTACTTGTCATTTCAATATGTCAAAAGGTGTCTGTACAGCATTGTTTCAAGCAATCGCATTGTTTATAATCAGATTAAAACTGATGTGTGATAAACCTGTGGGCAAACGGCGTAAAATATGATAATTAATGAAGCTGTAGGCCTCGATAGAATTCCTATGCAGATTTGTTCCAATTAAAGGCAATCGGAACATTCAGTCATACATCGGTTTGGATTTTGGATATTTTAATTTATTCTGTGATATTAGATATTTCACATTCGATATTTAATATTCTATATTTGTTATTCGATATTTGATATTCGGTATTTGATATTCGGTATTCGATATTCGATATCTACTATTCGATGATATTTGATATTCAATATTTCATATTCGATATTCCCAGTTGATATTCGATATTTGAATCGACTCTGAAGTGGGTAAAGAAGAAGGAAAAAATACCTATAGCAAAACTCACCTAAGCTGAAATTATAATATACCATATTAAAGATCTTATAAATCAAAATCAAGTCAAGACAAGTAGTCTTATCACAAAGAACCTTCTCTAATCAGTTTCAATAAAATTAATTAACAATTACTATAAAAAAGAAATTTATTTTTAGATTTTTCGTCAATATTAATTGCTACCAATCTCGCATAGGCATTAGAGGAATATGGAAATATTAGGTTTGATGTAAAAAGGATGCTCAATCAAAGGCAAACACTCTTTGAAGTTATGTGTAATATTTCAATATTAAATGAAATCCATATTTACTCTATAGGTTTAAATATACTTCGGTGTACCATTTTTTAATGTCAATTTCAAAAATGTACACTAGTGAAAAATATAAAAACCTCTTTTTTACCTCTATAAATAAATGAATAAAATAATCATAGTAATGTTTGTGAATTATGGATTTTACTGCAATAAAAATAAAACAGTTTTTTCCTACAACCACTATTTAGTCTTATGGGAAGTGCCCTATATCACACGCGGGTGGATAAATCTACTGCCACCCGTGTGTGAATATGAATCTACGTACCGCATAAACTGTAAAATATATCAGAAGTCTAATTTCTATTTTGATTGATGTAATGTCCATTTTAATAGTAAAATCAATTTGATGATTAAATTGTTAAAATTAATTTTTAAATAGAAATCTTGCATATTTCTTTTTAATAAATTATTAAAAGAATTTTAAAGTACATTGTTTTATGATTTTTCCTGGTTCATATACATATTTAATTTCCGATGAATTATCTGTTTATTTTTTTTTTATTTTGAAAAAATATGAACATTGGAAAATTGTTGTTTATTTATTTAAAATACATGTTATTTATCATAATATATAATCTACAATATTCTTTTCGCTATTTATTTTGTACTATTTTAATTACTGTTCAGAGAAGTGGGTAATCATTAATAATAACAAAAGTATTTGTTCACGGCTGTTTAATTTATTTCTTTAAAAAATAAATTAATGAAAAACATTAATGTATTTTAATATTTTTTGTAGCTAATATTATTTTATCTTTATCATACATACTATAAAATTGTTTGTATACGGAATCACATTATTTTTAATTTTGTCAAAACAATATCTGTAAAACCAGCCACATGTTGATGGAACATTTATAGCCAGATTTCCCAGTTTGAAATTTTTTTGATAAAATAATTTTGTGGTCGAAGGAAAAATATTGTACATCATTTGTGTGAAACTGATTTTTCACACTCGCGTGATAGTCAATATTTCTAATTCATGTGAAAAATGTCACTTTTCACCCTCGTAATGTAATATACTATTGTATATACCTTAGGATGCTTCAAAAAAATTTTTTTTTTCGCTCTTACCCTCTCAAATTTTTCTATTTAATATAAAAAAATCCTCACCAAATATGGGCGTTCCAGCTTATCTCTAAAAGGTTCCTGTTTTTATTTTAGTTTCACATTTAATTAACATGGGAAAAAATAATTTTGTTTGGAATTTTATACCTCTGTATCAAAATAAATAGCAATGATCATTGCAGTTTCTTATATAAAATTTAACGCTCTACAAAAAAGGTCTCTTATGAATTTTCGATAAATTGATTTCTTCTAGCAAAATGGGGTACCCAAAAAATTTCGTAAAAATTTTTTTTTTTTAATAATTGTTTTTTTTTCGGTTTCTCAATAATTTGAAAATATATTGACTCACAAGCTCACGCCTGTAATCGAAAAAAATTATTCTGAGCCTGTAGAGCAAGAAAAAAGAAGGTAAAAATTCAAATGATTTACAATACTTGCCATTAAAAAAAAAAAAATAGGGGATTGCTGCCGGACACGAGGCGGTTGTAGCCAATAAAAATTGACGTAAATATTGAAAAACTTTTGATTCTGAATTTCTAGAGGCATGAGCAAGTTATCGTTAAAATACCCTGTATATATTTCATATATAAGATGTACTAATTGGAAATCATTTTAAATTTGAAAAAATATACTCACTTTTTATTCAGTTGATGCAGTTTGTTTTTAAGAGTAGCAAAATCGGGGCGATCTAATGAATCTTCTGCCCAACATTTTCTCATCAAGTTGGCGACTTCGTCGTCTTCAGATAAAAATTCTGGACCATCCAGAGGTCTAAATGGCTTATTGCTGTCATCCGGACCCCTCTTGACGGCTTCCACAATTTCTAAAAAAAAAAAAAATCAGTTGATATAAGAAGCAGAAAATTACTCCATTATGTCTTATTAGATAGTAAAATGGTTTTAGGACAAATTTTTTTAAAACCCAGTAGCGTCCGTAAAAATTAAAATTTTCATGCTACATCCCAAGTAACATTTATAGGAGAAACAGGTTTTATTTATATTCTATTAGGATTTTGTAAAGGCATAAAAATTAATAATTATTTTATTACAGTTATTTTTTTTGCTAATAGGACTGCAGGATAAATTGATCTTATTACTTGGTTTTATAGATTCCTTTAAATCTGATTAAGAAAATTAGTTTATCCTAAAGTAAACTATGCTTTATCGCTGTCCTGTAAGGGTTAGTTAATAAGTAGTATTATAACTATTTAGTTTGAAGATACTCCTAAGTCGTGTTTGGTGTACTTTTTAGTAGTTATCTTAAGTAGGTTTTAAAACTTAGTTTTAAATTGATCCCAGAACCTTTTAGGTACATTTTATGCAAGTTTACAACATAAATCTTATAATTTATTTAATCTAGTTAACGATAGGACTCTTTTAAAACTACATAGTTTTAATAAGAACTAAAGTTTGTTTTAGAGCATAACACTTGCCTTGCCTAATGTAATTTGTGATTAAACACAAAGTTTGTTTCTTGTAGTCCAGTATCCCTGCAAAGACAGATCTACAATAGGATTTATATTGGCGGTTATATAGTCACTTCCATGAAATAATTTGAAAAATACAGAATGTGATATTTTTTATCAAAAACATATCGAAGACAAATGTAATTATTTTATATATTTATGTTATTTTCTATTAAATAAATTTCGGTAAATAGATTAAAATCCATATATTAATCCCTTGTTTACATATATTGTAAGGCCCATCATTTATTACGACCCACCTTGCCCACTTTTAACAGTACTTTGGTGTGTGTTTGAAAATTGATGAAATAACAAGTGTAACCGAACAAATTAAACATACACTATATAATAATTAGTTTTTAATGTGGCAGTCTTTCACAGAGAGTATGATAAAACAGAATAAAGGTAAAACAGTTTAAAATTTATTTCTCTTAAAAGTTTTTATGCATATCTCACTTATTATCATAATCTTAAAAAGATTTAAAAATGGTTTAATAAAATTCTTAATATACTCTTACGGACTTTGACTTAGGTCTAATTAATTTTAAGATATTGTTTTAAAAATACTCCTAGGAACCGTTATATGATTCTCCCTTTTACTCTTGAAGCAGATTTATAGCAGCCCTAAGGCTATCTCGCGGATTTAAAAGTTTTATCAGTGTCTTAAAAAACGGTTTTATGGTTATCTTGTATACTTTGATAATCCTAAAAATGTTACTTGGGATGTTATGTCAAACATACCGAGTTCAAAGTATTTTTTTTTTATTTTTTTAAATATGTTTATTTAACTAAACGAACTAAACTTGACATTTTCATTTGGTTATCAAATTATAGTAATAACGAAGTACTCTCAGATTCCCGATAAATCTATTTATTTTGTAATTTTAAATATGTTTGGGAATAAAGTTTCATTTCATGGATTTTCTAGATCAAACAAAAATTCTACTCTGATAATAAAAAAAATGTTTGAAGTTTGATTCTAGTGCAGCATAACGAAATTGATTTGTCATTTATATTAATTTTTTTAATTTAATAAAAGTTGAACATCTGCATACGGTTGTGGAGTATAAATAAAATTTGTAGAAAACTTTCACAATTTTCCGTCTTGGATGTTTAGAAGATACTTTTGCATTCAGACGGAGTAAATAGGCAAATGAATTCTAAAAGAAACTGTGGACCTAAGACTGATTTATAACTACATAAAATCAAGTGCAATTAAGGTTTACTACAAATCTGAATAATAATGGCACAACATTGGCACTATCTAATTCAAACTCGTCGATAAATATACGGTTTTCAAGTATCTAAAAAAATTCAGCATGGTCCTTATTCTCCTGGTAATTTTTGGTTTCATCGTTATGCCACTAAAATGCAGTTAGTTGTTTTTGATGCTAGATGGTGAAATGCCATGTTGACATTCCAGAATAATTACCTTATTGTAATTCTCGTATATGAAGAAAAACCTTAAATAATTCCTTGATGTATATTAATAGTACTTCTAGGCATTGAATAAAGGTCTATAGTATCGAGGATTTATATTTTGTGTATAGTTCTCTCCTTCGCCAACAGATTCCAAATTGGGTACATGTTTTTTCTTTGTCCAATTTAATAGAGATTCATACGCCGCCACATATAATTTTCATTATTTTTCTAGTAATAAATGAAGTTACAAAATTTCAACAGCTTCTTTAATTTACGGCGGAATTAAAAACATTTCATTTCCATTTTTCTTTCTTTGTTTATAGTAAAATATTTCGTAATTTTGTAGTCAAAAGTTGACGTTTCAATTTGAGTAATGAATTCGACTTTTAGATGACAGCCGCGGCCTACTAATCAAGTGGGTAAAAATAGAAATTGCATTAGTAATTCTTAATATACAGGGTGTTTATTAATTGAACAAATTTTCAAAATTATTTTAGTTTATTCAGATAAAAAACTAATTTAAAAATAATTTATTACTTTTACTAATTTATAAAATAAAATAAACTTCAAGAATTAAGACGCTAGATAAGACTAAAATAATGTATATTAGCTAAAAAATTGACAAAAAGGCTAAATAAAGCTCAACAACAGCAAAAAATCCAAAATTGCATGTAGTAATAACTAAAATGTGTTAGATGACATTCAAAACACGCTTCTCTGCTTTATATTACTTAGAAACGTGTTTATGTTATAAAAATACAATTTTAGGGCAAAACTTTAATACAAAAAATAATGTTTTTTCTAAATCCTCATGGATATTAGCTATTTTACGCACAGACTACAAAACTAAAAAGTACCTAGTAAGAACACTGCACATATATGAAATCCACCAAACAAAGTTCATGTGGTCACCCGGTTACTATTATTTTTTTAAATTTTAAATGAGTGACAATTCTATCAAACTAATTATCAGTATATTTTTTAGTTATTGTAATTAAATACACATTAAAATGAATTATTCTTGTGTAGAATCGATAAATAATAGCTTTTCTATTTTTAATTCGTCTATAGTTACAAATAAATCATACATCTATAATATAAATAAGCAAAGACAAAATGGTTCAGTACCATTTACTGTTCTGTTTGTATACCCATTTTTTTTTTAATTTTGTTTAGTAGAGATTGACGAGCTTTAGGTAATAGTTTTTCCCAACCTTCGATATAATTATGAAATCCATTTATCCACAATTATGATTAACTAATAAAATTAGCCTATAGTGAACATTAGCACTCTTTAATTTCGAACTAACATGAACAATATTACATGGAATGATAGAGGATCAAGAAAACCGAAAAAAAAAAATTAGTTTTTCCCACTCCTCCAACTTCCCCCCCTTCTTCCTCTACCACGCCTAAATGGTAAGGAATAGAAAAAATACTAATAGCGGGGCCATATACCCCGTCTGAAAGGCATTATCTATTTTTAAGTTAGTTATTTTATTTCAATAACCTAAAATAATTTTTATAATTTGCAGTTTTTTGTTAGTGGGTCGTAGAAAAAATATATTCTGTACAACTCGACTGAATTGTCCGTTTCGCACGGTTGAGCACTCCGCCTACGGCGGCGTCCTGTGATATGACCATCATATTCACTCTGCTATTACATCATGGATGTAAAAGACTTTTACCTCATGTAGACCAAATCTGTTGTTAAGTATTATTATCATGTAAAAGTCATCTTTTATTCAGAGTTTATATTTTATTATAATATAGAATGGAAATCACTATGGATTTTTTGCAACGGTATCTGTGAACTATGTTGCTTTTTATGAGTACAAATAGAATACAAAATCTCATTCGAAAGAAATATCAAACGGTCGTGCTGAAAAAGTTATAAAATTCGTCGGTCTATAGAAATGAATTTTCAGGTAGAGATAAAAGTTTACTGCATGCTTAACAGGTTTGATCCATGACGCAGCCATTGTTCACAACGGGTGTTTTGTCCTAGGGCGTTCATTTTGTTTACGTGGACAATGAATTTATTGGATTTGCGATCTCATCTGACACGTTTCAGTTATAAAGTTACAACATGGAAAAATTAATTTTCTTCCTAATAATCAAACCTCTAACAAATATTTAAATCTTCATTATTTTAATAGATACAAAATAGTTATTTATTCAACAAGTGCAAAAAGTAAGTGTTTATTGCACGCGACAACACGTCGAGTGCAATAAACACTTTTTGCACGAGTTGCATACAATCTTTTTTCTACGTTCATGCAAAAACCAAAAAATGTTTTATAGAACTGCAGTTGTATTATCCAAAGTAGCTGTGATCGTGTATCTTTGTTTGAGGCATTTATTTACGTTTGTGTTCATAATTTGTAATGACATTTTTAATAAAATACATTTTTTTATTAATTTATTTATTAAATGATTGAAAATAATATAAAAAATGCAATTGTTTTTAAAACTTAACACAGAAAATGAAAATGGACTAAATATATCTCGTTGATTTGAATATTTATGTTTGTCATGATCATAAAACGCTGTAGTAAAATGACAGATGAGTGCAATAAAATTTTTATTGCACTCATTTTTAATTTTAAACAGGTACGGTCCTGCACAGCGATGGAAACGCCTCGACTCGCGCGCGCTACGGTTGTAAATCCCGATAAGTAACCGATCAAGCGACTGGGTAGGACTCGCTTTATGATTTTTTTTATAATGGCTCTATTTTGTTTATTATAATTTTTTTAGAAAAATGAAATCGGCCAATCGCTCTCAAATTATGCGAACTACCACCCCTACAAATTTGGACGCCAAGTTCGGAAACACCCTGTATATATTATAATAATAATAATAATAATGTTTATTTACAGATAACTTGTTTTTACAGTGATACGCTAAAATAAAAATTACAAATATAATAAATA